GGTGTGGTGTGTGTGTGTGTGTGTGTGTGTGTGTGTGTGTGTGTGTGTGTGTGTGTGTGTGTGTGTGTGTGTGTGTGTGTGTGTGTGTGTGTGTGCTGGGTGTGGCGTGTGCGTGTGCATGTGCGTGCGTGCGTGTGTGTGTGTCTGGGTGTAACTAACACCTATAAACATACAAAAACACACCTAGCATACTTTAAACAGTCCTTGTAAGAGTTGACTGTAGTTTATATTTGGAATTTAGGAATTTAATATCACTTTATAAACCTTAGCGTCACCACAGACAGTATTTTTTTTTAATGATGAAAAATACAATTGATATCTGTTATTTGTCGAGAACAAACGCCAATTTTATCATTGCAGAAGCGAAGCGGTTATGGACATCTTTAGCCACAGCTGTTATCTGCAAAAAAAAAAAAATAATAATAATAAATGGACTTCAAAATACGTCTCTCCAACACCTTAAAGACTTCACTCTATATAACAAATATTCACCTACGATATAAACGAAATGAAAATAAACAAACGAATAAATCAAGAGATAAAAATAAAAGTATGAAATATGCAGATACATCGCAGTTTTTAACCACCGCTCCCATACCTTCAAAAAAAGAAAAAAAAGAAAAAAAAAAAAAAAAGTATAAATATTCAAATACAAATGCATTACCAACGCTACTTCAATGATCATAAGAGTCAGTAAATGCAATGTGGAGAGCGAGAGAAAGAGAAAGAGATAGAGAGAGGGGGGGGGAGAGAGAGAGAGGGGGAGAGAGAGAGAGAGAGAGAGAGAGAGAGAGAGAGAGAGAGGAGAGGAGAGAGAGAGAGAGAAAGAGAAAGAGAAGAGAAAGAGAAGAGAGAGAAAGAGAGAGAAAAAAGAAGAGAGAAAAGAAAGAGAGAAAGAGACCCTATTTTCCCGTCCTTCGGTGAATTCCCCTTCGGACTCCCGAGGCCCATAACGTCTTCAGCCTCAACCACACCGACACCAAAAAGCTGGTGATGACACTAAACCTTCCATAACCAGACGACATAAACCACCCTCACCTTACCCTCACAACTCCCACCTCCGCTACTCGCAAGTGCCGTCAAAAGCCTTGTAAATAGAGGGGTTCTTGCATATGGCGACGTCCAGGGCGCACTCATTAGGGTACGTTGTGCCGTCGCTGCCACACACGGGGAGGTAGTTGAAGGGACAGGCTTCGGAACACTCGGGTCCCTGAGTCGAGTCTGTGGGGGGGACATGAGTGAGAAATGAGTGGGAAATGGATGAATTAAGGAGTGAGAAATGAATGGGAGGAGATTGTTAAGGACAGCTTCGGAACTCGGGTCCCTGAGTCGAGTCTGTGGGGGGGGGAAAGGGAGAAATGAGTGGGACATGAGTGAGAAATGAGTGGAAATGACGAAAATGATGAATTAAGGAGTGAGAAATGAGTGTGGGGACAAACTCGGATGAATTAAAGGAGAGAAAATGAGAAATGTAAGATGAGTGTGTTAAATTGGAGTGGGAATGTATGAATTAAGGAGTGTGTGGAGATAATTGAATTAAGAGTTGAATTTAATGAGTGTGAGATAATTGAATTAAGGAGTGGGAAATTGAATTAAGGAGTGGGAATGAGTTGATGAATTAACAGAGTTGGATGAATTAAGAATGAATTAAGGAGAAATGGGAGAGTAGATTTGTGAGACAATGGCTTCTGAACACAGCCGGGTCCCTGAGTGGGTGGGGTGGGAAGGGAGAAATGAGTGGGAAATGGATGAATGAAGGAGTGGGAAATGAATTGAATGAAAGGCGAGGGAAATAAGAGAGAAATAAGTAAAAAATAAGTGACTATAAGTGGGAAATGGATGAATTAAGGAGTGGGAAATGAGTGGGAATAGTGATAATTAAGGAGTGGAAATGATGTTAAGGAGAAATGAATGGGAAATTGGAGGATAATGGAACATTAATGAAAGGGCAAAGGAAAGGATGGAAATGAAGGAAAAGAGAGTGGAAATGAATTAAGAGTGGGAAATGAGGGAAATGGATGAATTAAGGAGTGGGAAATGGAAAAGGGAAATTGAAGGAGTGGGAAATGGGAGAAATGGATGAATTAAGGAGTGGGAAATTAATAAAATTAAGGAGTGGATGATGAATTAGAGACAAGTGAGAAATGGATGAATTAATGAGTGGGAAATGAGAGAAAAAAGTTGGAAATAGATGAATTAAGGAGTGGGAACTAAGTGAGAAATGAGTGGGAAATGGATGAATGAAGGACTGGGAAATGAGTGAAAAGCGAGTGGGATATAAGTGAGAAATGGGTTAATTAAGGAGTGGATAATGAATTAGAGATAAGTGAGAAATGGATGAATTAAGGAGTTAGAGCGTTGTTGGTGGATTGCGGGTGTATATCTGAGTGTGTGCTGACTTTTACAAGCACAAGCACATACAATCTAGATATTTGTATATTTGTTGATGTGTGTGTATGAGTTTGTGACTCTCTCTCTTCCTCTCTCTCTCTCTCTCTCT